GGGTGAAGCCCACACAAATTAAAAGGGATAATAATAATAAAAGAAAAACCATATTATATTTTAAGCACAACGAACTTATGTAGGTTTGACTCTCTAACTTATCCCCAGTGGAGTCGTCAACTGTCGCACCCGGAAAAATGCGACGCGGACGGCGCGCAAGTGGAGGTTCCGGCCTTCGCGGTGGGAACCGGATCGAACGAGGAGTCGCCACCAAGATTTTGAGGTAAATCTTGAGAAACCGATTAATGGAAGATAAGGGTGATCTGCGAAATCAGAGAATAGGTTCGGGAGTCGGTTGAGTGTGGGGAAGGTGTTAGGCACCCCACAACACCCGTTCGTGAGAACAGTTACCTGAAGTTTGTTGTGCTCTATTAATATGGTTTTAAAATTATTTTAATTATCCCTTTTATATTCATGTGTTTGATATAAAAATGATGATAATTGAGTGAGAAATGTTTATTTATTTATGAGGGAGGACGGACTTGACTCAGAATCTGACTCTGAGACTTACGTACCCTGTGATGGGGATCAAAGTCCATGTAGTTCGGGCTCAAAAGTTTGTTGATGAAAATATTTTTTGAAGAGAAATTAATTAGAAATAATTCACCATTTTGCAAATAAAACCATTTCTGAAATTTTGATATGTGTGTTTTAAATTACAAAAGGTAATTTAATTTTAATTATTTTCTCCATTTTTGAATTTTTGGAATAAAGAAAGGAAAGGGTTTAAAATTATTTTTCTTTATGATTGAAGATTTAATCGCAGTACTGCAGAACCTAATTGGTTCATACGATAATGCAATTGCTCTAAATATCTGCGGAGATTCTAAAATCTCACACGATAAAAGAGTTTGGCAATTTAATTTATTGATTTATATTCTTATGTATATTTTTAAGTGTTAATAATAATTTTACTTAAGTGTGTATATATTTTTTAAAGGATTTTAATCATCATACCTGTATAGCCTTATTGGCTTATACGATCATATGATTTATCCTAAATATCTGCAGAGATTCTAAAATCTCACACGATAAAGGAATTAAATTTAATTAATTGATTTAATTAATTATATAATATATATGTATATATATATTTTAAAAACTAAATCGTTATATCTGCAGAGTCTTATTGACACACACGACGATACAATGATCTTAGAAGCCTACGGAGATTCAAAAATCTCACATGACTAAAAGATATAATCGGTAAATATAGTTACAATTTAAATACATTAATTTGGTTAATTAAGGTTTCTAAATTGTTTATTATATGATTATTTACAAATATCATTTATTATATTATAAAAATTGATAATCGCTATATCTGCGAGGACTTATTATCTCACACAATAAGGTGATTAATTTAAGTCTCTATGAAGATTCTTGAAATCTCACATAAGACTTAAATATTTATTATAAAGAGAGAATTAATTTTAATAATGGGCTTTTCGAACCCATATTAATATATACAAGATTGATTCTCATACCTGCGAAATCTTATTGATTTACACGATAGAGGATCATTCTAAATGCCTATGGAGATTCTTAAAATCTCACACGATAAATAGGTAATTAAGATATTTGCATTTGCAGGCAGTGCATAATATTATGGTTAGCTAAACGATTCATGCGATGAAAGCAATGGAAAGAATAGAGAAATAAATTATTTTGACAGTTCACTATTCTTTTAACTTGGAGATATATTCTAAAAAATCCATATTTGGCATAAATTTTAGCAAGATAATAACCATGATAGATACGGCTTCAAACCACAATCACCTAACAACTTATCAACGATATTCTCACAGGCTTCTTCTTCTTTTTTTTTATTTTGTCAAACACCTCTCAAGTATGTTCTAAATTCTAAAACAAATATTTGATTCATGAATTTCTAATGCCTAAACATATATATATGGATCAGTCTGCACTCTTAGCATCTATCAATATATACATGTTCATCAATGAATCAAATCCAAATTAAGGGAGATGACACGATTTAAATATCACCTGAGTAACTTGTGATTCTAGGTTTGCATTCTTCTTCTTCTCAAGACAACAATTTCATCACCTCAACCTCAAGTATTGAACGTGTTTTTGATTCTTTGTTGCTTGTAAAACATCCAGCACTCGTGTGACATCAATTCAGACTCTCACTCAGTATCATATGGTATGCCATCGTTGCTTGACTAGACATGAAGATATAACCCATGAACATCAGTAGAAAGTGGACGTTGAAGACTCAGAATTTGTTGAGAGAATCATACACCATCTCCTCATGAAAACATAGCAGCCAGATGATCAGGAACATGACGGTGAGGATCCAAACCATTTGAATCTCTCTCCCTCTCTATCTCCAGATCTTGTCGTGAGAGAGTAATAAAATGTAAGATCTCTCTCTTTCCCTCTACCGGTGCTCTTTCACCCTCGGTCTCTCTTCTTTCTCCAACTTCTTCTCCTTCCCTCTCTTGTTCGTTTTTTTGTGCTCTCTTCTCTACTTTCTTCTGGTCCTTGTTTCTTCTTCTTTTTTCGTCCGGTTCTCTCCTCCTCCTTTGCCAGTGTTTTTCTTTCTGTCTCCTCCTCCCTATTGTCCTTGGCTCTCTCTTTTTCCAGTTTTGGATCAGTCTCCTCCCACGGTTCTCTTCTTTTTTTCTGTCTTGAACCTATCCGTGTTTCATGCTCTGTTTTTCTTAATTTTTCAATCTTTCGTTCTATCCTCTCTTTTTTTCCTCTTCTCTTCCAGTTTTCCTCTCTTCCCTTCCAGTTTTCCTCTCTTCTCGTCTTAGCTCTCTGTTTCACGTCCTTCGGTCATCTCTCCGCTGTCACTATCTTTCTTTTTTTTTCTTCCCTTCTTGCTCTGTTTTTCAGCCCCTTCCGTCCTCTCCCATTCTCTGCTATTTTCTACGTTTTTATACTCTCTTTTATGCACTTGTCTACTGCTATCCCATGCGTGTATCTCCAGCTCTGTTTTTCTTTGCTTCTTCGTACGTGCATGCGTCTCTCTTTCTTCTTTCTGTGTATTTTTCTTTGCGCGTATCAGCTGGCGTGTTGGGTTGGGTTTCTGTGTTTCGTGTGTGCTTCTTTTTTGCATGACTCTTCCTTCTCTTTAGTTCTACATCTCTCTTTTTTCATCTCTGTCTCTCTGCGTTTTCGGCTGGCGTATACTCTTCTCCTTCTTCTATTCTGTTAGTTTTTTTTGTCTGGTCTTTTCTTCTGTGCTCTTTGGCCGAAAAGTCTGCTCTCTTTGTGTTGTCCGTAGCTCTGATTTTGTGTATTATCTTTGCGTGCATGCTTGTTCTTCTTCTACGTACGGCAGTCTGTGTGTGTGCACATCATAGTTGCTGCTCCTTCTTTTGCTGTGCTTTTCTGCTCGCGTGTGGGTGTTGTTTCTGCGTTTTGTGTCTCTGTTTCTGCTGTTTTCTCCTTTTCCTGCTGCATGGCCGAGAGAGAGAGAGTGTGTGTGTACGTGTATTTCATGTGTTATGTATCTGTTCCTTCTTCTTTTCCTTTTTTTTTTCATTTTTTAATGCCCCTTTTTTTATTAATTAGATTGAGGGGGGAAAGAAAAGTCTAATTTTAAAGCATATATTTTTAAATGAAAAACAAAAGATTTAAGGAAAGAAATTTAAAAATAGTTGAGTCTCAAAAATTGATTGCCAATATCTTTGAATGGTTGGGATAATTTGAGAGAGATTTTTTAAAAAAATTTAAGCAAGATTTTTTTTGAAAATATAATCCTAAAAAAGGATTAAATTTCATTTTTGTATTTTTTATATTTTTTAATTATTTATTATTAAATTTAAAAAAATACCCGGACAAAATACGGTGTTCACAAAGGAGATCACCCAGAAGCACACGACTAGGGAGTCTGGGCATTAAAGATCTGGAGATCAAATCAAAAACAAGACATTTATCATGAAGCTATGTTAGGGGCTGTTAAGTAAACTGAACACTTTGTGGATCAGCTGCTTACGATCTGTGTACGATTGCTGCAATCACTAAAATTAGAGCAAAGAGATATCTTTTAAACACCAATGAGTGCCCTTTTGACTGTCAATGTGTGGACAAGTTTGATTATGTCTAACCATATATCTACAGTTTTCTCTTATGAATTGCTTAGCAGAGATGGATTAAATGGAATGCAAGTCATGAATCAGGAAACAAGAAATTTAGTAGATGGCATTTGTTTGAACTATTCTATTACATTTGCTAGTTATTGTGGATTCACTCAAAAATGCAACCAACTCTATGTAGAGCTAGAAATTCAAGCGCTTGAATTTCTGTTGTGATCTCAAACAAAATCCTTTCGGATTCAAGAAAATGCGTTCGCAAAGCTTTGGCCAGTGAGTGTTATGTAGGTTAACTAAAACATTTTCAGCTCTCAAATAACTACATGAGCGCCTGGTATAAGCCTTCATAAGGTCCTGTTAGACTTGACGTTGATGGATCATCTAGACTTAATGGAGCGGTCACTTGTGGAGGTTGCATAACTGATGATATAGGGAGGTGGATATTGGGTTTCTATTGTAAATTTGAAAACTATCCGTCGGCTATTGCTGAATTGATGGGTATATATGAAGGTTTACAACTTTGTTGGTCTAAAGGACCCACTAACATCAAGGTATACTCAGATAGCATTGAGGCCATCAATCTTATTACAAGAGGAAACCATGAAGATCATCCCTACCATAGAGTCATTCAAAATGTCGGTACATTATTTAGGAATTAGTCTGTATCTATTAATTTAATTTCTAGAGAAGGTATTAGTCATGCCCACAACCTTGCTAAGGAGGCGCACTTGACAGAGAGCCTTTTTTATATCTTTGATCATTATCCACCTTATATTAGGTTAGGCGGTGAATGATGACTGTTTGTTATTCATCTGGCTATTTTGTTTTGATTTCTTGTGTTGAGTTTTCAACTATGAATGAATTTAAGGTCTTATTCAAAAGAAAGAATGAAAGAAAGGAAAGTAGACCCACGTGGCAATTGCACCAAAATACCTGTTGCAATTCCTTGGTTTCCTCAATTTCAAACCACAATGGGTGGTCCATGTCACTATCCCTGGATAAATTGTTAATTGCCTCCAAAGAATCTGAATATAAGTCACGAGTATCTCATCTGCAATTGTAGGAAATGTTCCCAAGTCCTTTTTGAAGCCCATGACCCATTCCCTTGTATCTCATTGGTGTCCATGTAGAGCTTGAGTGATGAGGGTTAGGAAAGAGTATGTAGTTCAACTTTTCATTATCAATACTATCCATGAGAAGATGAATACAGCAATGAACAATTTCCTTCAAGTTTGCACTGGTGAGAAACCTTAAGACTATGGTTAGCAAAATTGCACTTTTTTAATTTCAAGCGCATTAAGACTTGGCATGAATATCTAAATGACAATTTAACTTTTTTAAATATTATATATATTGATTAATTCCTTATGTTTTAGTGCATTTATACTAAGATATCATATATTTGAGTACATTATATATTTTCATAAAAAATTTAAAACTATTAGTATTGTTATATTTTTTTATTATTTAATATATAAAATATCTAAAAATAATATTTAAAATATATTTTAATCTTCATTTTAGACTTTGAGATCCACAAATTTTTATTAAAAAATTGAGTCTTCTAATTTTTTTTTTTTGGTCAAGAGTCTTCTCAATTTTTTTAATTATTCTAAAAAGTATATTATATATTTTCATAATAATAAAAAATAATTTTAAAGTAAAAATTGAAATTTGTTTTAAAAATTGAATTTTTTTTACAATTTGAATATTTGTGCCAGCTTGAATAATTCCAGAACTCGAGAGTGTTAAGGTTGAGCTTTGTCGTTTGGACTTTGTTTGTCATGCTCATCAACTTTTAATTTTCCTTCAAGCTTTGCTTGCCCTGCTTTTATTTTATTTTATTTTATAATATTTCTTTGAAATTATTCTTATTAGAGACAATCATGTTTAAACTATGGTGAGATATTATTAAATGTTAACAGAGACAAATCATGTTTAAAGTACAGTGAGATATTATTAAATGAGAATATCTTTTTCAATAAGAATTTGAACCTCAGCTCACCACGTGCTTGCCTTGTTATTAAAAAAAAAAACATTTGAAACATTCAAACGACAAAACTAAAAAAAAAAAAAGTAAAAGAAGTATCCGATAATCACCCCATAGTCAATCAAAGTGGTTAACTAAAATGATGCTTTCATATTTTATGAGTAAGAAATAACATTAATCTATTAAAATTTATTTGTAATTTAAGGAACTTAATCAGTATTAATTTCCTTATATGACCCTTTACTATAATTTGTGTCCTTTTCCTTAAACTTTTAGGCCATTTTTTGTAATTTTTTTTGTTTAACTAATTATCAAATTAACGAACATTTAACAAAGGGTGATATTTCTCCATTTTTTAATACAAGAAGGGTAATATTGCATCACCTTGGATCTCAAAATGTCCATCACTCCTGAAAAGAAAAGTTCAAGAGAAAATTAATACTTTAACCCTTCTTTATTCAATAGGAACTGTATAAAAGTAATTTTTCTTTTTTGAAATTGAACAAATTACCAAGTTAATATTCACCTCTTACCCCAAAGTTTTTAACTATTCTTATAAAATAATCTCTTTCAACTTGACTTATTTTTCTCCTTGTTCTTTATTTTCTATTGGTTAAAGTGTAATTTTACCATTAAATTATAAGTGCAAGAGCATCTAAAATATTAAACTCATTTTTGATATAATGTTTCATTACAACTTTTGAGAATAATGTAATGACAGTCATACCGTTAACAAAAATTAAATTTAATAATTAATTGATAAAAAAATTATAGAAAATGATCCAAAAATTACAAATAATATACCACGTAAAAATAGTGTAGGGATTAAAATTCATTTTTGACTAGTTACCATGTGATCATCAGATCACCATTATTCTTATAAGTTAACTTTTAAATTCTATATAAATAATTGTAAATAATAATATATTAAATTATTAATATTTTAATATGATATTATTAAAACAAATATAAATATTTTTTTTGTTAGAATGGAAGCCGATGAAAGTAGACAGTTAAAAATGTATTTTGGAAAGTTTAAGCCAAAAATGAGTTTTAGGTTTAGATGTTCCTAGATTTATAGTTTAAGAGTAAAAACGCAGTTTAACCCCTTTCTATTTATTAATGTATTGGAGGAATAAAATGTTAGTATGTTCCCCATGCTTTTCCTGGAAAAGCCCCAAAACATGGCTTCCCAAAAATGCTATGTGAGATATTCCATGTAAGGCGTGCCAATATAATAGGGGTAAAGCAGCCTCTCTTTTTAAATTTTTATTTTTCAATTAACATTTTTCACAATGCATCACAGACAGTTGCATACTTTTATTGGTGCTGTGGCTTTGTTATTTCTCAAAAACTTCTTTGAAGTCATAAAATATTGTCCTAGATTATATAAGCGAAAGAAGGTAGCAGTATGGATGTCGGAATTTAATTTTCTGGTATCTGACAAATAAAAAAGGGAGATTCATGTTACAATAGCAATACCCTATAGATGGCCAAACAAACAGAAAACCTAGTAAAATAGTAAATTAAATAATTTAAAAATTCCATATAAAATGTCTTCTGGAGATGGGACTGTTTTAAAAAAGGATATACACATATTGTTCATTAAAGTTTCTTAATATTTATCATAATTATTTTAAAAAATAAGTTAATAATTTAAAAATATAATGAAAAGATAATAATGTATAATGTTATAATAATATTTTAAGGAAATATATATAGTAAAATTACATATCTAATATATTAATTTTACATAAAAATCATATCTCATGTTAGTATGTTAATATTTTCAATACATTTTGTATATTATTTTATATTGATGATTTGAAATAAAACAAATAGTCTCGCAAAAACAACAAAACAAATATAATAGAACTTGAAATTTTATAAATAAAATTAAATCAATACACACACGTACATTTTGAAAAATTAAATGTAAATAACAATAAATAATAATGCTTTAATCATGTAAACGCTCAATTCTTTTTAATGATTGGCTCCAAATAATTTAATTAAGGTAAAGTAAATATTAATTATTAAATAAAATATGTTAATAAAATAATAAAATATGCTAGTGTTTTGTTATTTTTCAATTAATATTATTTTATTACTCAGGGCTCCCGTGATCTACACATTCTCTTGATTTGAGTTGTATGAGAGCAAGTGCCACTCATTTTTCCTTTTCTTTATTTTTTTTAATTCCAAATCCTAGGAAACTTGGAGGTATTATCACTTCCTACTCAAACTAATTTGAAACTCTATTTTGTGAGATTGTTATTACCAACAACTTAACCAATTGAACCAATCTGACCTTTGACCTGGGTTGACCCGAATTGAACCGGTCAGTTTTGAGAGAACCGACGTTGACTTAGAAACCGGACTCGGGTCAACCCGGTTCAACACCAAAAAAAATAAAAATAAAAAAAGAAATTTAGGCTGAGTTACTTAGATTCACAATTTCTCTTCTCTAATCACTAATTCTCTCTTTTTTTCTCTTCTCTAATCTCTAATCTCTCCTTCATGGCCCAAACTCAATTTCTAACTTCTCCTCCAACATTTGCCTCCAACTCTAAAGATCTAACCTTTAGCATCGAGATCGAAAGCTTATGAGTCATGATATGATGACATGCCTCCAGCTCCAACATTTTTCTTTGAGATCACAAGCTTGTACTAACATGCCTCTACTTCTAGCTCCAACAATCCAAGCATCTAGTGTTTGAAGTCGAAATCTCAAGCACCATTGACAAATTAATGTTTTATTTATATAATTGCGCATATAAATTTTATTTTTTATTTAATTTTTATGTCACCAGTTTGACCGCCGGTCTAACCAATTGGACCATAAAAACCGCGACCCGTTGCTCTTTTCAGTTCGATGTTCGGTCCGGGTTTCAAAACATTGCCTTTGACTTATTTATTTAACGTGACTACATATCCTAGGACAATAAGACTTGAAATCATGCAAGACCTAGGATAAGTTGATTCAACAAATACTTTGTTTTTGTTTCTATCAAATACATCTATTGCAAATCTAAATCATTCATATCAAACTTTAATAACACTTCATATTTGATTGATTATTCAATCATTTTTCAAAACAAAACAAAACAACTGTATTTAGTTGGAACCACACGAAATTTATTGTTTTTCGAAAAAAAGCATTAATTAAAATGTTGTGAAAAAAAAAACTTCATTAACTCAAAGTGGCTTAAAAAACTATTTTAAGATTATTTTAAAGGGAAAATACCATTTAAGAACTACTAAGGATATTTAATATCAAACAACAACCATCAATGCATGTCGGTTTAGATGAAAGGGATTTAAGTCCCTTAACCATCAACTTTTGGATTTGATCCCAGGGTTATGAGAATGGAGAAAATATACTTGGGAGAGCTACTCCTATTTGGTGCTTGACCTAGCTCAAACTGGGATTAAGTTGGGGTTGTCAATTTTGGATATTATATATTCTTTTCCCATCTAAAATGATTTTGAAATCAGTCCCCAAGATTTTATGGTGATATTTGAAAGTTTTTTTTGTCCTCGTTTGTATTAATTTGCCTCAATGGTTCTTGAATGATAATTTTTCCTATTTTAAATAATTATTGTTTACTGTATCTGATAATGCTAGTGCAAGAAAATTTCAATATTCCAGACGCGTGATGACCCAATCTCTCCTTTTTATCTTTCAATTAACAATTTTCACAAATTCATCACACACGCGGTTTCATACTTTTATTGGTGCTGCTGCTTTGTTATTTCTCAAAATTCTATGAAATCATAAAATATTGCCTCAGATTATATAAGCTAGAGAAGGTATGGACTATGGAACATGGATGTCAGAGTTCAATTTTTTGGTATTTAATGAAAAGGAAAGGGAGATTCATATTACAATAGCAATATCCTATACAACAATTGGGAAAAACAAATTATACAAGATTTAAAACATTCACATGAACCAAAAAAAAAATAGTGAAATAGTTAATTAAATACATTAAAAATTCCATATTATACATTATTGTTCATTTAAGAATGAATTTTAAAACTAAATCAATTTTTTTATAAAATATATTTAAATTAAAATTTGTATAATTGAAATTTTAAATTGTGCATAAGAACTTGAGAAATGATAATGGATAGGATTTAGGGAGAAACAAATTATACAAGATTTAAAACATTCACATGACCCAAAAAAAAAACATAGTGAAATAGTTAATTAAATACATTAAAAATTCCATATTATACACTATTGTTCATTTAAGAATGAATTTTAAAACTAAATCAATTTTTTTATAAAATATATTTAAATTAAAATTTTTATAATTGAAATTTTAAATTGTGCATAAGAACTTGAGAAATGATAATGGATAGGATTTAGGGAGAAAAGTAGTTTACAGTTTTAGAGATAATGTTAATATTTTTAGACATAAGTAGTTAGGTTATGATTATGATAAAGAGAAGATTGTTGAATTATGAAATTTGGAGAAAATATTACTTATTATGATTTTTTTAAAATTCAAGAATTCAGTTGAATCAATGTTGTCAGAGTTAGAATCAAAATTTCATGACTTGTGTATCGCTCATTACATTAAAATTTAAGAAAAGATGACGTGATTAAATATAGATATAAAATTACGTTTTGTGAAAATGGTATCACGTTTTAGCCAAAAAATGTTGTCACGCAAAAGTAATTACATTGAAAACAAAAAAAGTTACTATTATTAATAGTTAATAAATGTAAAAAATGCACACGCGGGTTGAAAAAATTATAAGTTTATAACACTCCCATGTATCATCACTTTCATAAATTAAAGTTCAAAAATTCTAGAAAGTTTTAAATTTCTGTCAAAATACACAAGGTTAAGGCAATTATTCAAGTTGTAGTTACCAAAACATGGACACCTTAATTTATTATTTAGTATCCTTTCCTGGATTTTAGTTTGATAAAAGATACACAATTATGTGACATTTAAAGGTTAGAAGTAATATAGAAAATGCACTATTCACTTTTATGTTGTAATTTGTCGAACAAAACATTGATAATGCTTGCTTTATGATTATAAATATCTTTGAACATTTTGAAGAGAGTATCAAAGCACCACTACATTTGCAATATTCATCGCGCGCGCGCGCGCGCGTATCTGAGGATAAACATGAGATCTTCATCTGTGTATATATACATAGGCTGCTTAATAATCACACATAAGATATTCATAGTCAATAATATACGCCATAAAGCATTCAAGATTTTTCAAAATTTGCAACCTTTACAAATAGAAATATATCAACGTTCTTCTGCATTTAAACCATTCTTTCCTTGTTCATATCTCCTTGGATTATTTATTAATAAGTAAAGAGGGCCTCTGTGTCGTTACATAGCTGCCGTTTGCTTTGTAATTGTCAATGGGACTATGGGAGTATTTTATATATAAATTGGTATTTTCCCCATATTTTTCCTGGAAAAGCCTCAAAACAGCTATGAGACATTCCATGTGAGGGTGCCAATATAATAATAGGTGTAAGGTAGCCTCTCATTTTTATCTTTCATTTAACACTTTTCACAGTGCATCACACACGTTTTCATACTTTCCTTGGTGCTGCTGCTTTGTTATTTCTCATAAAATTCTTTCAATTCATAAAATATTGCTCACATTATATAAGCGAAATATGGTATGGAATGTGGATGTCAGAGTTTAATTTTTGGTATCTAACGAAAAGGAAAAAGGAGATTCATGTTACAATAGCAATATCCTAAACAACAACTGAAAAAAACAAAAAAAATTATAGAATATTTGAAGCATTCATATGACCCAAAAAAAAAAAAAAACAGAAACCCACTGAAATAGTAAATTAAATAAATTAAAAATTCCATATAAAATTTTTTTCTGTGGGAGGGGGAGTTTATCATAATATTTGTCATACGAATTAAACTATAATTATGTATAATGTTATAATATTTTAAGGAAATATATATATATATATAGAGAGAGAGAGAGAGAGTGAAATTATATATCTAACATATTAATTTTAAGGAAAAATTATATCTCAAGTTTAAATTTTAAGTATGTTCATATTTCCAATATCTTTGGTATATCGATCATTACATATTGATGATTTGAAATAAAACAAATAGTCTGGCAAAAACAATGAAACAGACGGAATGGAACTTGAAATTTTATTTCAAAAAATCAATATATATATATATTTTGAAAAGTTATAGGCAAATAACAATAAATAATGCTTTACTCATGTAAACGCTCAATTCTTTGTAATGATTGGTTACAAATAATTTAATTCAAAAAGATTGACATATAATATAAATGTTTATTATATTTCTCGTTTCCCTTTTTATTAAGGGAAAGTAAATAATAATTATTAACTAAAATATGTTAATAAAATAATAAAATATGCTAGTGCTTTGTTATTTTTCGATTACTATTATTTGATTATTCAGAAGTGCTCAGTTCTCATGTGATCTAGACATTCTCTTGATTTGAGTTGTATGAGAGCAAATGCAACTGATTTTCCTTTTTATTTCATAATCTGGTATTCTGGAAAATTTGGAGGCATTACCACTTCCTACTTAAATTAATTTGAACTCACACTATGTGCCATTGTTATTATTAAGGATTGCCTCATGAGTATTTTAAGGATGTTTTTGATATATTTATTTAACACAACTGTATATTTTAGAACTTGAATTGGAGATTTAGGATAAGTTGATTCAACGAATGCATCTATTGCAAATCTAAATCATTCATGTTGAATTTTAAAACTACATAAATATAATTTTAATAACTATTAAATCTAAATCATTAAATCTAGTATCACGATCCATATATGTAATCTTCAATACAATAGAGATGAAAAAAATTTCTTTAACTACATCTAATATTAAATTAAAAGATTATTTCTTAATAAGTAGACAGCGCCTACGTGTTGTTATAAAAATGGGCCATTCATTTTGTTATGGTCAATGGGAGACTTACACTTTTCTAATAGAGCGCAATATACTTTTCACTGAATTCCACATTTCTGCTTCATAGCTATGCTTTGATGCCGCTTTGTTATTTCCTAGGGGAAAAATATACCATTAGTTAGCACTTTCTGCATAATTTGGTGTTCTTAATATACAATTTATTAACTCATTTTGAATAAATATATCAAAATATTAATTATGTTTTTTATAAAACATACCTTTATTCATAGCTGCCAACAACTTTCTGAAAAAAATGTTACAATAACATGACTTCGCTTGCCATCTCAAGAGGTTAGGGATATCACTTTTTCCCTTATTCTCAATTTCTCACCTTTTCTCTACATTCCTGTTAGATCAAATAATTCAAATTTATTTATATATTTTTTTGATCTATAATTAATTTTGAATTATAATAAAAATGTTTTGATATATTTTTACAAAATCATGATTTTGAACTCTAAAATTAATTAATTATTATTGAAATTCAAAAAAGAATTAAATAAAAAATGCAACTTAATCAAATCTAAAATACGCATGACCAGGCTTTTTACTGAGGCTTCTATGTGAAGCTTGCCTTTAATACTGTAAAGTAGTCTTCCTAGGTCCTTCCTATCATCTTCTTGCCAAACTTCTTCATGCTTTGGTGGTTTCTTATGCTTGTTTCTCACAAATTTCTCATGATTCACGTATATGTAAGTTTGCAGCAAATTGAATAAGGAAAAAGACCAACACTCATTTAAGAGTCATCCCATTGCATCAATCTCTTGCTGTTGGTTTAATTTGGGTTGGTACAAGCAAAGTTCTTAATAATGCAGACAACACCTTCCCTCTCTCAACGAGTCAACATCGCCTGAGTTCTCCCAATTCAACACAGCTGTATCATTCTGTTAATTTCTTCAACTTTCTCGCCAAATCACTACCTTTGTAATTTTAAATTCTTGTGGGTTCTGGCAGAGTAATTTTTAGATGGTTAAAAATTTATATAACGTCGTCAACTTAAGATAAATTGCATAGAACCTCCCTTATTCCACACCCTTACTATATAGATTTTGACCATAAATCCCAAATATTAAAATGACAATTAAATTTAACAGAATTTATGCCATATCAGCTTAATCAAGAGTACTTGGTAAATGAAATGGAATTTTGGGATTTCATTAATCTATTTAAATTTAACAGAATTTATGCCATTTACCAGGGCAGCTTCCATTTTCGGCATCACCACTTTTCTTCCGATATGTTGTAATGCTTTCTAGAATTCCTCAGGAGGTCATATTTATCCTTCAAAATCTTCTCTGTATGTGTTCCACGTTTTCATCCAAAATGTCGCTTTGATACTTGTAGTGCCCAGTTTGATTTAACATTTTTCGCTTTCTGATTCCAGTATCATGCGTGCTCACCTTTTATTCAATTTTATCATGTAACATAAATTAAAAGCAATCATGTGGTGATAAAGTAGTATGATCTATGGATAAATTTTTTAATAAAAAAGTTGATTGCTTAATTCCATCAAAGGAGCGATCACCATGTGTGGAAGAGAATGACAAAAGAAATGTTGGTTGATTATTGTATGCACATTAAACAAAAATTTCTTTCCGGGGGGGGGGGGGGACACTATGAACGTGTTTCAAGGGGCGGGGGGGGGGGGAGATAATGGAGATGGGACGCATTGCCATGAAAGTAGATGTTGCAGAAAAGACTAGCACCATTGTTGTTAGAGAGAACAAGCTCATTATATCTTCATCACTTGAGCCATTGCTATTTCATTGATTCACCCCAACTTTTTTTCATATGGTTAGAATTATTATATGAATAACAAAAATTATAATTATAATACTAGTTAAAGGTACACACTTACCCATGCTAATTGAAGTCTCCATGTAGCTTGAAACCTTTTATGTACCCCTACAAAAAAAAAAAAGATTGCATTGAAAAATTAACAGGCAACTTTGTTTACTGGAAAATGCTTTTTACTGTTATATTTTTTGTCATAAAAGTGTAAGGAAGTAATATAGGCAGTAACCTAAAAATTTTTCTCAGTCTTTTCTTTATGCAATTTAGAATCTGTTCCTTCCAAATTGAAGCAAGGGGAGAAAAACCCATATTCTCAAAACGTTAATTATTCTGACAATTTTAATTGATTAACAGATGGTTTTTTATTATTATTATGAGGATCACTTGCTGTTCAAATAGCAATAATAGGACCACTAAAGCTTTCTGCCATCTAAAGTAGAGAAATTATTTTATCCTATAAGTTTAAACAATTCAAAGAGCATATTGTCACGGGCTGAGAGTCTGACGCAGCACACGGCCCCCGTGTGGCATCCTGGAGGACCCCATAATCCTCAGGACAAGCCTTACCACATACGGATCACACTGATTTTGCCCTGCCATAGGCTCATTAGGGAGGCGGCACTAGCCCCCGACCAGTTGTACACTCAGTCCGAAGACTGAGGCAGAACACCCCCAATGCCAATGTCGCCCCCTTTACCCATATTGTGCGAGGCTAACCAGCAGATCGTTCATTATCTTGGTCTTTATACGGTCACGGAGATATCTTCCGTGACATTCTCCCACACTCAATCTAGCACGCCCTCGTGCTAGGGGAGAACGACTCCGCCCAAGGATCGTACGTACAGTACTGCCACAAATACATCAGCTTACTGCTGAGTGGCCACCCGAGTCCTGCACTCTTCGGACCCACTCGCACCCGCAAGCCAACAGGAGTGGAGTCGACAACGGCCAACCTTCCCGCCCGAGTCCCCACTTTTGGACCCACCTACTCGGAGGCCTTTCCGGAGCGGTGCCGAGGCCGACCAATCCCAATGTGGGACCCCACGCGCACACAACAGTAAAGTACGTCCTGCTCTGATACCACTCTGTCACGGGCTGAGAGTCTAGCGCAGCACACGGCGCCCGTGAGGCATCCTGGAGGACCCCATAATTCTCAGGACAAGCCTTACCACATACGGATCACACTGGTTTCGCCCTGCCATGGGCTCATCAGGGAGGCGGCACTAGCCCCCGACCAGTTATGCACTCAGTCCGAAGACTGAGGCAGAACACCCCCAATGCCAATGTCGCCCCCTTTACCTATATTGTGCGAGGCTAACTAGCGGATCGTTCATTATCTTGGTCTTTACATGGTCACGGACATATCTTCCGTGACATTAATCTCTGTCACGGGCTGAGAGTCTGGCGCAGCACACGGCGCCCGTGCGGCGTCCTGGAGGACCCCATAATCCTCAGGACAAGCCTTACCACATACGGATCGCACTGGTTTCGCCCTGCCATGGGCTCATTAGAGAGGCGGCACTAGCCCCCGACCAGTTGTGCACTCAGCCCGAAGACTGAGGCAGAACACCCCCAATGCCAATGTCGCCCCCTTTACCCATATTGTGTGAGGCTAACCAGCAGATCGTTCATTATCTTGGTCTTTACACAGTCACGGAAATATCATCCGTGACATTCTCCCACACCCAATCTAGCACGCCCTCATGCTAGGGGAGAACGACTCCGCCTAAGGATCGTACGTACAGTACTGCCACAAACACATCAGCTTACTGCTGAGTGGCCACTCGAGTCCTGCACTCTTCGGACCCACTCGCACCCGCGAGCCAACAAGAGTGGAGTCGACAACGGCCAACCTTCCCGCCCGAGTCCCCACTTGCTCGAAGGCCTTTCTGGAGCGGTGCCGAGGCCGACCAATCCCAATGTGGGACCCCACGCGCACACAACAGTAAAGTACGTCCTGCTCTGATACCACTCTGTCACGGGCTGAGAGTCTAGCGCAGCACACGGCGCCCGTGAGGCATCCTGGAGGACCCCATAATTCTCAGGACAAGCCTTACCACATACGGATCACACTGGTTTCGCCCTGCCATGGGCTCATCAGGGAGGCGACACTAGCCCCCGACCAGTTGTGCAGTTAGCCCGAAGACTGAGGCAGAACACCCCCAATGCCAATGTCGCCCCCTTTACCCATATTGTGCGAGGCTAACCAGCGGATCGTTCATTATCTTGGTCTTTACACGGTCACGGAAATATCATCCATGACAATATGCTACCAATTCACAGACCAACAAACAAAGCTTCAAGTGGGCCCTTCAAATTTAAAATAATATGAAATGGAATGGATTATAAAAACAAAGGTAAAAATAAGATGCTCAAAATATGAAAAAGATTGATGAACTATACTTATAAGGAAGAAAAAAGTAATCTAATTCACAGGACTAGAGTCATGGTTCATGAAGATTTTAAAAGGTGTGATAATTTCTACATTTGTAGTATATCTTATTGAATTTTCTCATACTTACTATGATGAGGAAAAGCAATTTAATTCATTTTTTTTTCAATTTTTTTAATTCATTCCATTTCCATACTTTTTAGTAACCAAACTTATTAAATTTTTAGAATTAATAAATTTTAAAGTTTTTCTTGGATTTTATGAATTATGTTAGAAGTGAATTATAAATAAAACCAAAGGAATATTTTAATAACCTAGCTTTAAATAAATTAGTAACTCTAAGGACTAAATAATTAATTTTTAAAAATTATTTCACATCCAATCAATGAGACATCAACACCTAGACTAGGGACCCAAATTATGAGAAAGAAGACACATCCAAAAATCTTATGTAATGAAAAAATGTGTTTCAGTAGTACTTTTTTCAAATCCCATGTCATAAAGAATTTGAGAAAAATGAGTAAGAGTTAACTTATATATAACAGACTTCACGAACAAAAATAAAAATCAAGAGTGGGTAGTTATAGCATTTAAACTTTTCTTGGTGTGGCAAAAAAAATATAAGAAAGAATGATACTTAAGTCATAAAAGAGACTGTGACAATTAGGTTTTCTATAATTTTTTTAAAAAATAAATTATAAACAATATTTTTTTGGCCAAAGTATAAATATCAATTTAAATAATTACAAATTCAAAAATTCTAATTACAAATAATACATTTAAATTCTAAATATAAATGTAGCTTACAATTAATATTTTTATTTGTAATTTTTTGAATTAATATTTATAAATTATTTTTAAAAAAATTTGTCAAAAAATTAGTTATCTTTAATTTTTATGTTCTTTAAAAAATATTTTGTCATTCTCAAAATCCAAAGGGAATGTTAAAAAGACATACACCATACACAATTGGCTAATATAAAATCCAGATGTAAATTCAAATAAATAGTATAAAAAGGGGTGAAATAATAAATCATCAAAATACACTAGATTTTTATTTTTGAAAAATCATAATATATATATATATATATATTAATAAAAAGATAAAATAAGAGGAAACAGGGGGAAAAAACATAAACCACTGTATCAAGTGGTACGACCGTGAAAGTCAAACAATGCAGGAGGGAATGAATTAGAAAATGTAAAACAAACATTAGTAAAGTTGCTTAACTGTATGGTTGACGGAGACTGGTAGATCCAAATTGATCAAAGAGCCGGCAACTTTCTTTTCTTTCTTTCTTTCTTTCTTTCTTTCTTTCTTTGTGTTTATTTATTTTTTTTTTTTTGACCAATGAGCTGTCAACTTTCTTGCAGAAGACAAGTTCAAATCCATGGGAGATTGCAAAGGAAGAAAGCCAGAAGAGAGCGATTAAGGTCGAATATCAGAAACAGATCATGTTAGTGGTGTGATTCGAATGCCATGATGGCAACTTTCATGCGTCAATCTATAATCCGACGCAGGTTAATCATGCTCCCAGTAATTATTCTGCTAAACTTGGTTATTGCCTCAATTCAAACCTAAATCATCTGACTACATACTTCTCATGGTAATTTCTTTTCTTGTCCACTTGATTTTATTTGACCTTTTAATCAATTCTATTTTTGTTTTTTGTCGAAGAAGGATAATTCATTAATCATTCAAAGCTAATACATCAGGGAAATCGAGTGATAGTAAACGTGAAAAGGGGGAGGGGGAGACAAATAGGCTCAAAATTCCTCATATGTCGAGAGATTATATTTTATGGACAACCAGAAACTGTAAGTGTAAACATAGCAACGTCAAACCTGTAAAATGTGTCAACAAAAAGAGCGAGGAAAAATTAGGAAGGACATGCAGTAAGAAAATTTTGAAAGATGGATCACAAAGTTGTGTGTTTGCACTTTCCAAATTTTCCAATGAAATGAATAAGAAAAACATACCTCTTTGAAGACATATAGAATATTTAAATTTAGAAATAATAACTAACATGAATTCGTGGTTGAACTATATAAGAAAAACATACCTGTTGAAGAAAAGCAGAATCAGACAATCTTAGCTTTGGAGATGGGTCAAAAAGAAAGAAAGAGGGAGAGAGATAACAGTTAGGTAGGTCTAAATGAGGATTGGGATATAGAGTTTGTCAAAACGAACAAGTATTGTTCAATCTAGAACTTTATAAAATTTGGAGCAGCAAGTAATGAGAGAGGATTCAGATTTTATATTAATTTATGTATTATGAATGATTTTTTATTAGTATTTTTATTCTAAACTGTTTAATTCTTATGTTTTTGGTGGAACCTTTTATTTTATTTTTTAAAATTTCTTTCTAGATTTTTACTAAAATATTTAATAAATTTTTTAACAATTTTAATTTTTATATATTCAATTCAAATCAAGTTGGTATGCGTCATAGATGTCTTATTATTATTTAAATAAATGGTTGGGGTGTGAATCTTACATGTAGAAAACCTAGTTTATATATGTTTCTATTAATTGCCGTTATTATTTAAATAAATGGTTGGGGTGTGAATCTTACATGTAGAAAACCTAGTTTATATATGTTTCTATTAATTGCCGTCAATATGTAGGCTCAAATTAAATTTTGTTATTGGTAGACTACTCCTTCTGATCCTATTTATAAATCATTTCCAGCATGTTTTACTGAAATCAAAGAAAGCCTTAAATTTTATTAACTTTATTTTAAAATTTAACAAGTTTTCACCTTTATCCCTAATAAATATTTTTAAATCTCATTACTGATATTTTTATTTAAAGCATCTAATAAGGGTAAAAATCTCAAGAAGAGCATTGAAAATGGATAAGTTCTCCATAAATAGGACTATTTTTTTCTCCTTTTGTCCTATAAATAAAACAAGTGTTGGGTTAGGATCAGGCCCATATGAAAGCCCAAATTGAGGAATGGGGCTCTTATGAGAATTATGGAAAAATGTTTGGGTTCAAAATGTGATTTACTTAGGGCCTTAAAATGTAATATTTTCCAACCTTTAAATTTGAAACATGGATGGATAGAGAAACTATCGCACCTTCCCATAAGAGGTGGTTATAGGTGCAGTTTCAATTCGTTCAAAGTTTGGTTCTTTGTGTAAAGAAAGAAACAGAACACTCTCAATTTTCATCCATCTCATTTTTCTCCTTACAAGCTTTCTCTCTCTCTGAGTGTGTTTGCTGCGTACCCGAACGAAGTTTGACTGGTGTAATTTTGTTCCCACATACGTACGTGTGAATTAACGATTCAAGGTATGTTTTTTCTACTCAATTTCTTTCAACAAGAGAATAATATAGGCCCACCACTAATAGCACTTGCCCCTCAAATCTCAATCTGAAAGGTAATTCAAATTAAAAATATTTTTCTCCCCACCTTTTGACCTGTACATATTTGTGCGCAGGCATGTGTGTCTATGTACTACTAAATGACAACTGTATTTTCACTTGATTAATCAATTATACAATACATAATTAACTGACATTGAAATTTCAGTAGAGACTTGGCCAGAAAATTCTTGCCCATGTGATAAGTAAGAAATTAAAATTCCGAGAAATTTGAGAACAGTCTCAGAAAGCTCGAACGAGTACTCATAGGAAAGCAGGGTCAACGCTTGTTACCTGCTTACTAGTCTCACAAAGACCGAGTAAACCAAATCCGTGTCTTTAATTTGCATCTTCTTCATGGCCCCTTTCTCACGTTTCTCTCCTCGAAATCCCATTATATATATATATCCTCCTTCCTGTCCCTTTATTTTCATCACCAAATCTCTCTTTCAGTTTCTACTTCCATTTTCTTGCCAGGCTTCACCAAAAATGAACCCAATTAAGACACGTTCTCTGGAAGTCACCGTCATATTCGGCCACAACCTCTGTATCGGTCAAAATCCGGTGACGGAGGACATGCATGTCGTGGTCCGGACGGAGTCGTTAAACTGTTGGACCACGAAAATGGCGAAGCAAGCAGGTGATGGCTCAGGTTCAGGGTACTGTGCTATATGGAACGACAAGTTGATGGTGGAGGCGCCATTACATGCAAAGTCTATTATGTTCGAAGTTGAGTGTAAGACGTCGAAAGGCGTGGTTCGATCCATTGGGCTGGCGAGAATAGCGATTTCGGACGTTCTACCAAACGAAGAGGGATGTTTGTCAGAGGTGTTGAGTTACAGGTTGAGGAACTGGGAGGGAAGGAGAAGTGGGGTCATCAGTTTCTCAGTGAAGACGAAGAAGCATGAAGATGACGGTTCAATGTGGTCGGGGTCTGGGGGCATCCATCATCACATGGATGTTCAAAATAAGGGACTCGTTTTGGGGATTCCTGTTTGGTGGAATCATCTTCGCATACATGTTTGAGAAATTCAACACACACGCGCGCGCTCTTTCGTTGATTAACATGAAGTAACCGTTGATAGTGGTGTTTAAAATTAAAAAAAAAAGTACAAACGATATTATTTCTTAGGATAATACTTGCTTTCATTATTTATGTTTACAATATGTAAGAATAATGATGGAGAAAACAGACCTGCACTCTTTGAAGGTCTTGCATTATATATTATTTATGAAAAATCTTATCCGTGTATAATTTAAATTTCGAAAACCATATCACTGTACAAGCTTTTTATTAACACCGACTAATTAAGAGCCCTTTTATCTTTGATCCAGTGTCGAACTTGGCTTCTCACCAAACCAATCTGGATTAGTCTTTTCCGTTCAGTTGCAATTCCATCCCTCTAAACCTCCACTATATCGAGTCCCTTATTTATTTATTTTTTTGGCGTGTGGATTTGAGTTGGAGCAACCAAACCTCTTCATAATTTCGACGACACGTTCCGTCTCACAACGATCAAACGTCGCCAGAGTTCTCCTAATTCAACGTTGCTGTATCATTATCGGCTCAATCTTTCAGGTAATTTCTTCAACTTTCTCACCTGATCACTATCTCTGCAATTTTAATTTCTATCCTTCAATCAAACATGTACTCACAATCAATTTCTATACTCTCTATGCATCCTCGAGAGCCATAGCTGGTTTTATTTTCTCGGTGGCTTGTTATTTCTGGGAAAATTTCTTTTAGTAGTTATCTAATACTCTTAAACCATGCTTAATATGAAATTACAATTGCCACTAATATTAGTTCAAGTGTAGGACTGAGGTGAAAAATGGAGAGGCAAAATCAAATCTTTTTAATTGATTAAGAAAATGAAATTAATATTTTTCACTACTTCTTACTGTTAATTTATTATTTCACTGGTAACGAGAGTTTTTTATTTTCTTTTATTTCTTAGTTTATAAAAAAATTAATTCATATCATTCTTTTATATTATTTTCGAGATACTTGTTAATTGTCTTTAGTTACCTAAACAATGGGCAAGATATTGTTATAATTTGTTGTTAAAAATTGAATTAAAAAAAAAGGGAATTAAGACTAGCGCCATTTTTTTTAGAGAAACTAGTTTATCAGTTAATCCATCACATCAAGCTTAACGTTTGTATTATGCATGTGCCTAACATTTACTTCAGCATCAACTTGGTAAGTAAATTCATTCATATCTTTGTCGATCATTTCCATAACTTCTAGACTCACCATTCACATAGTTTTCTTTTTAAGGTAAATTAACTTTTGGTTTCTTCTTTTCTATTGGTACGAAGCCATCATGGCTGGGTTAGCAGCAACGTCTTCTTCCTTCCACTACCAATGGGCTTATGATGTCTTTATCAATTTTAGATGTGAAGATACTCATTATGGTTTTACAGGAAATTTGTATCATTCTCTAAGTCAAAAGGGAATTCTCACCTTCCTTGATGATGAGGAACCAAGAAGAGGTGATGAAATTACCCCAGCACTTCTCACAACAATTGAAAATTTGAGGATGGCCGTTATTGTATTTTCTAAGAACTATGGTTCCTCATCATTTTGTCCCAATGAGCTTCTTAAGATCTTTCAGTGAATTAAGAGAAACAGTCGGTTGGTTTTGCCAATTTTTTATGATGTGGAGCTTTCAGAAGTATGGCATCAAAAGGAAAATTATGAACAAGCACTACCAATGCATAAGAAAAGCCTCAGGGCTGATGAGGAGAAGAGACCAAGTCGGAAATTTGCATTGCATGAAGTGTCTAACATTTCTGGCTTCCATTTTGATCCAAGGTAATTCCTAACTTCTAAATTGTTTTTTCCTTACTTAGCCTTGTATCAAGTTATAAGCAAATAAACATAAATTTCTTGCTGGGAAGGATTTAATTAGAATTGACATAACTTTACGCAAATTTTCAAGCATGGTTATGAATATCAATTTATTGAAAGGGTTGTGAAAGAAATATCAAGTAAAATTGATAGGGCTCCTTTACATGTTGCTAGATATTCTATTGGATTAGAGTCTTGGATGCTTAGTATAAAATCTTTATTAGAAATTGGATCAAATGAAGAGGTCAAGATGGTAGGAATTTGTGTGTTTGGTTTAGGTAAAACAACAATGGCATGTGTAGTATATAATTTAGTATGTGTTTGATTTTTTAGTTTGCCAAAAGTTCATTTGGTGAAAGTTCATTTGGCAAAAGTCAGTTTAGTGAAAGTTAGTTGTTGTAACAAAATTTGTGTTTAGATATATATATATTTTTAAAGTCAGTTTGATACACTGAAAGTTGTTTGGATTATGATAGTAAAATGTGTTTTTGAACGTACAATTACCAGGAAGGACATTGATTTATGATGATTTGTAATTTTTATTATATAAATGTAATATATTTGAAATATTTAAAAAATGTGATATAGATTTTAAATAATATAAAATTTGATCTATAATGCTAAAAACCGAATCTCTAGTTATTTGTGCTTTTTTAATTTGTAATTTTAGAAAAAATGATAAAGATTTATAATTTTTATTATACATTAATGCTAAAAATTAACATGATTAATTATTCAATTTATAATGCTAAAAACTTGATACATAATTATTATTATTGAAATAATAATTATATTTTTGTTGAATTAACTATTTTTTAAATAAAAGAATAAGAGATTAAACTTAAGATAGTATGGTCAAATAATATCCTATTTTTTAAATTTTCTTTTCAAAAGCTTTAAATAGTTATGTTCCTCAAATCCACTTTCAGCCATTGTTTAAATGTATTTTCATGATGTATTTTTTTACAAAATATTTTACCCAAACAACTTCCAATATCCTAAAAGTGAATTTTTGCTTTTTGAATGTGAAATGCAGAAAAACCAATTACAGGCCCTTAGTTGCTGATAATTTTGAAAGCATGTACTTTCTTCATGACATCAAAGAAAACTCAAGCAAAATTGGCCTACAAAAAATGCAAGAGAGAATGATTTCCAAGATTATAGGAGTGAACGCCAAAATACAAGATCTTAAAGAAGGAGTTAAAGCAATAAGAATGAGACTCAAACAAAATTAAAGAAAATCCTTTGGTGTTTGATAATGTTGACAAACATGAGCATTTTGAAAAATTAGCTGGTGATTGTAATTGGTTTAGTGGTGGGAATAGGATCGTTATTACGACAAGGGATAAGCATTTACTTGTAAAGCAGGAAGTTGAAAGTATATATGACATGAAGGTTCTCAATGGTGAAGAATCTCTTGAATAGTTAAATTGGAATGCTTTTAGGAACAACCAAGTAAATCCAAGTCACATGATGGTATTATATCCAGCAATAAATTATGCACAAGGCCTTCCACTAGCCCTTGAAGTTATAGGCTCTAACATACGCGGAAGGAATATAAATGAGTAGGAGTTTGCCTTAGATGCACTAGTGCAAAAAGCATTTTTTGCCACAGTTAAAATGTATTTTTGGCGACAGAAGATGCTTTGTGGTAGAAAATAGTGTGGTAGTAAATGTACATTTTTTGTGACAAGTATAACGTAACTGTGGTGAAAAATGCTATTTTTCACCACAAGTGAACGGTGAAGTTGAGATCTGTGGCAAAAAATAGCTTCTTTTACCATAGGTGATTTTCAGACCTACGGCGAAAGATATCATCTTTTGCTATAGGTCCTACTTTCACCTATGGCGAAATATATCATCTTTCGGTATAGATTTATTTTTTTACCACAGTTACAACTATAATTGTTGCTGTAAATGATATGTTTTTTTTAATCAAATCACCTATAATTATATACATCCCTTACTTTACAAAACCTACATTAATACATAAATAGTAGTTCTAGAGGCCAATATATATATATATATAGTACAAACATTTCAATTAAAATCTCCATTTTCAAACACATATCTAAAATATTTCTACTCTAACTCTATTAATTCTAAGAAAAAATGAGACCAAAGATTCTATATATGTCTTAACTCTCGCTTAGAATATGGCTCTAAATTTTGAAAGTGCTGCAATTTCAATAATATATATATATATATATAAATAATAACTCAAGTATATGAAAAATTTTATAATATAAATCATTATTAGCAAATTATTACCTAATCAAATGAGTGAATAATACCTTGAGTAATGATTTCATACATGAAAATCATTATATAATAACCACACTCTATATTTCCTGATTATTGATGACACTATAAAGATAATAAAAGTAATGAAATAAAAATAATAATGAAATTTATTAAATAAATATTATAATCTTCATTTTAATAAGATAATAAATTTAAAATACTTACTTGCATTTGCACCCACTTAATTTCATTCTTTTTCTTGTCAATCATTCCCGCTGATTTCTAATATGTTGCTAATGATTTATTTACCAAATATACACACTTAGAAAATATTAAATATATGTTATTGATAACACAAAATAGAATTATTTGAAAACTTACAATTCAATCAAAGACTTCATATCATTGCTTATTTCCCTTCGTAGTGAATAAAACCAGTATATAGTATTTTCGTACAGCAAATGATAAGAAACATCCAATGATGACTACAACATATTAATTTATATTAATATCACATCATTAAGCACATTTTTATTAAATTGAGGGATGAATTTAAAATTAATACCTTTTAATAATTGATAAAAACTAGCACCTTTTCTTTTGCCTACACATCGTCTTTCCAATATAAGAAGCTCTTTGATTTACTTTGCCGATTGCGGTTAAAAGTGGAGACAAGAACCTATAATTATAATCGACACTGAGTTCGGTGCATATCTTATGGAAGTACCTTTGATAATAAAAAAATGTTAGCAAGAAAATAAAAATATTAAATATTAATCTATAAATAAAAATGAACACTTACATAATAAACACTTGAATTATTGCTAAGTACAACCACTCAAAAATAATGAGATCATTAATGTCTTTTCTGGCGACTCTGAAAGTAATAGGCTTCCTAACAATCATTTCACTTACTTTTATTTCATCAAAAAATTTATTCATATCAACCACCACTGAAGCCAACTGTTTCAAATAATCTTGCACTGTTGGGGATTAGAACCCAGAGATTCTTTTGACTGTAAGAGTTTCTATAATTAATATATAATAAAAATTAGAAATACCTATAATGTTAATTAAGAAATATAGAAATTATAACTTTTCATACCTCATCGATAAACTATCGGGCTAGCCTTTTCAACCAAATAATAAAATTATGCTCAGCTTGTCCTACTGTTTGCACCTCCTCAGTAGAGAATAGCACAAGAGCATTGGCATCCACAACCTCTTCAACCGTGACCTTTACTTGATTATGTTGTATCAATTAGTGGTGCATTATAGTTGCATGGTTATACACCTTTCCATATGCAACTACTCATTTGCCATGATCCTCCACATAAGTATGCATGGCATTCCTTGCTCTGATAGGTCAAAATCACATCCTGGATCTAGAACACCACCATAGTTTGGTGCTTGTTGTGATTGCATTTGGAGATTACTAATCATTGATTGCATTTCCATCATTATGCTTGATTTGCATTCTGCTATCATCATTTGTACTTGTTGCATTAGTACAAGATCAAGACGTGATAGTGGTCTAAAATATTGTCTTATACCAACACCTTTTGGAACCCCCTAACACGGCCAGAGTGCTCTTCACTCCCTAATGTTGTGGCCAATATATCCTTCCTACCAGTAGATATAAAGGTCCCCTGAGAGGATGCTTCTATAAGAGCATCTTGGAACATGTAATCAACCAATGCAATTAGTAGACTTAAATCATATAATTGAGATGTTGACTACAAAAATATTTACAATTTTTTTGGCCACTTCTCTAGCTTCTAGGGAAATATACTCTCCTTTTTTAGTCATCCATCCTCTCTTCCATGCTTGTACACGATTAATAGGAGATGGAGGAGAAATGTCTTCAACATTATCAACCCCTCCCGCTTGTCGTTTTGCTTCCCACTTCTCTTGAGTCATTATGTCATAAACATATGCATACTCTTCTCGAGACATAGTATGGTTATATAGGTTTTTCTTCCAACACTCTTGACCCCTTTCACTTTTTTCCTATTAACAAATAATGAAAAACATTTGTTAAAATATAATTTTAATAATACTAGTTTAATATAATATGTTTCCTTTGCTTACCAAAAATTTAGGATCGTGTCTACTGTGAACAAATTTCATCCATGTGTCATAATCAATGAATGGATACTTCTCCCAAGGCTTTTTCATGCCAATATCATTATCACTATCATCATTTTTATTGTTATTCTTGGGAAACACATATTTTCTTGTAAGTTTAGACTTAAAGTCCCTCCATCAATTCTCGACATATTTTAGCCATTTGTCCTTTAAAAATGGAGTTTCCTTTATGTCATATGTAATATGCAAAAACACGCCAATGATGAATTTAGTGACAACATATATTTCAAAATAAAAAGTAAATATGATATAAAGCAATTAGAAATACCAGTATTGTTTTCCAAACATCATCTCTATCACTTTCTTTTACATCATCCTACTCTTCCTCCAAGATGCTAATTTTTTGACGAGCCATAAGACCCACAAAAATCTTAAAAATGTTTCCTTTTTTCTTATCAATTGGTTGGCCTTTTTCATCAAAGTCAAGATGAATCTTTTCATGTGCTTAGGCTAACTTAGTTAGTCTTGTGGCCCCTCTTTTACCTCTCTTAGTCTTTGCTTTTTCAGTGCCACTGCTGGAAGGATTTTCCATATTTCTCCTGAAATAAATAAGATAAATAATATTAGTAGCAAAAAATATAATAAATTTAAACTTATATAAATAATGAAAGCATAAAAAAAAGGGATAAAAGAAATTCACTAATATTATGTTACTATTATAAATATATTTTAATTCTCCCATAAGCCTTTATCATGATCAATTCTAACGTCATAGACGTCATCATCATCTTCCACATCTAACAAGGGTTAGGTTGGCATAAAAAGAGGAATCTCTTCAATGCCAAAACTTGTTTCATTATTTTCATCATGAGAGAGGAGACTTTTTCCCAATAGTATGATGGACAACCTTTTATCAGCTTGATCGATAACATAAAAAACTTGTTTTGCATGAGTTGCCATGATAAAAGGCTCATCCTTATGTTTTTCCTTATGAAGATCCACTAAAGTAAAACCCAATTTATCTTCTTGAACACCATTCTTAATATCAACCCTCATGCATTTGAAAATGGGCACCTTAAATTTAAAATAATCAACTTCACATATTTCTTCAATGACTCCAAAAAATGATGAAAATGCCACAGTTGGATTTTTATCTTTAGCACTAGAAAAATGAGTTGCCTCAGCTTCTACCATTACCCCACTATTTTGCATAGTGTTATTATCATCTTGTATTTTTGTATAGAATGAACACCCATTAATGTCATATGCACTCTAAGTTATAACATCAAAGTTAGGCCTATTAGCTAACCACCTTATTGTATCAGAAACATTGGCCTTCCGACAATCCTCCTTTACCCTTGCCCTAAACCAGAGTGAAAAATGTTTGTTATGCTCACTTAATAACCATTTATCGACCTTTTTAGGGTACCGATCCCTTAATTCATTTTTGTGCACATCTAAGTAATCCTAAACATCATTGGTGTTATTTAGAATGTATAGATGTGCTTGTTGCATTTCTTCATGTGTCATGCACTTTATTTTCATCTCCCGTGTCCCTTGCCCATGAACTCTCATTCCCTCATGGTGAGACTCAGGAACTCCGATAGACTTTACTTTAGTTAGGTATTTAGTACAAAACTCGACAACCTCCTCAACAACATATCTTTCAACAATAGAGGCTTTTAGATGATAGGGATTCTTCACATTCCCTTTAAGAATTTTCATGTACTACTCAAATGGATACATCCAACACAGATAAACAGGTCTCACTAAATGTAGAATTAAGTGTACCATAATGTCAAAAAATGGGGGAACAAAATACATTTCAAGTT